ATTTCAATATGCATTTATTTGGACGGGAGAAAAGCAGGCTGAAATGCTTTCAAGGAGCTGTAAAGTTCTCCATAAGAGCAAAGGCCCTTAATGCTAACACCCTAATGATGGCAACAAGGCATGGGGTACTACAATATTCAAAGAATTAAAGTGAGTAAAGCAGAGAAGGCCTAGGGGAAGCCTAAAACATCGCCCTATGGAGAGCCTGTGAGGAACAAGTCCCAGCGATGACGCCAGGAAGGGAGGAAGGGGTTCCTCGGGCACCTCTCAGGAGAAAGTCGCCTGCGCACTGGGTGGAACCGCTGAGCTGAGACGAGTACCCGCCAGGATGGGAAGGGGGCCACACAGCCTGGGCAGGTGGGCATGGGTGGGCTGTGATCTGCGCCGGTGCAGGAATGGCCACAGATGGAGCACCTGAGTTCTCCCAATGATGCTCTAGTACTGTCGGTCTCAGAACGTCACCGTCTCAAAGCACAGAGGCGTTATGTGACTTGGAGATCCAGGCGGGCACAGCGAAAGGGGAATCAGGGCTGTAACTAGGGCAGGGAGGGGAGCTGTGCCCCAGGGCGCCAACATTCAGAGGATAGCCCAAATACTTCTCTGCTTGGTGATCTCATCGATTCAGAAGCTCCTTCCACGAGGCAAATCAGAGCCCTTCCGTCCCTATCCATCCTGGGGTGACGGGGGAGGCCGCCCCGGTGCCTGAAGCCTGTCTCACTTTTTCCCACATCACAAGGGCACCAGACGGGCATCTGGGCACCCTCCTATCACCTCTTGGCATATGCCCCTTGTCGGTTATCCATTGCAGCCTGTGTGTGCACACATACGCATGCAAACACACACACACACACACACACACACACACACACACACACACACGCCCCTTTCCGTTGGCCTCTGTGAATCGTCAGAGGAGGCTGACAGATACCCTGATGCAGAACGTCTGTATTTAAGCCGGCCAGGCTGGGCAGTTACAGGAAGCTCGGGGCCAGTAAAAGGGCATTACAACTTCCTGAGGGCAATCTGGCTCTCCCCCTGCCGGTTGAGCTTTGGATACACATTCGAGAATGATTCTGAAAGCTCTCGGTGACCCCTCCAGCAACGCAGATGTGGAGCTGAGCCATAGGCAGGAGGGTCATCAGTGTGGGAGACATCCGCTGCCCCCAGGCCGAGGAAGAGGAGCTGGCAATGGCCCTCTGGGCTGGAACCAAGGAGAGCTGGGAAGCGGCTAAATGAGGAGGGGGTCCAGCCCGGGAAGGACGGGGCAGCTGCGCGCAGGCCCCCACTCCCCAGAGGACGGGCCGCGTCCAAGCGGCCGACGCACACGTGCCGTCCAGTCCTTCCCAAACGGCTAAAGAGAGTGTGAGGTCTGACAAGGTCAAGTCTGGCTTGCGGACGTCCTCCCCTCACTTTGGTGCATCCTGCCCAACCCTGGCTGTGAGGAACCAGCAGCTAACACTTTCCCAACCAGGTGAACTTGGGCAGGAAACGGAAGAATTTCACCTTCCAACCCTCAGCCCTGACTCTTGAAGCGTTCAGCAAAAACAGCCTGGCTGAAGATCACGTGCCCCGGTAATGAGCCCGAGAAGAAAATGACGGGGACTGGATCACCCGGTCTGGTCTGGGGAAATCCTACGTGAGGAGACTCCTTCCACAGATGCTGATCGGCACCTCCTCCACACACCCTTGGGCTTAGCAAACTAACTCAGACCTGGAAAGGAGCGTTAACACACTCAACGAAAAAGGTTCAAAATGATCTTGAGAAGCTGGAACTTCAGGGCAAATCAAACATGAAGGCATTTAAATAGGGAGAGATAGAAAGTCTTTTAAAAAAGAATCATCTTCACAAGTACAAGCCGGGAGAGGCTTGACAGTAATACGACTGAAAAAGATCTGGAGGTTCCAGTGGACCCCAACCCCCACGGGATTCAACATTTTGCTGTGGCAGCCAAAGCCGCTAATGAGATTTTCAGGTTGTATTATCATCATTACAGGGGTTAAATGGGCATGAAATAGCTCTGATCAAAGTCTGATAGCCAAGACATCCAAAGGCAACGAACAGATTTCCTTTTTCCGTTCATCACTGATAGGAACAGAGTCCTCAAGGGAATTTCAAAGTCTAAGAGTCACATAAAAGGATGCTGCGAATCGCTCACAACACGGGAAATGCACATCAACGGTACTGAGGCTTTGCGTCATCTCTGACCAAGACCAGAGCCGGGGAGTCGACGTTGGAGAGACTGCGCTGAGGTGCACCTAGCGGAGGTGAGCCTGGCTCAACCATTCCAGGCAGCGAGTGACTGACTGTCCACACCGCGGGCGTCGGGAGCCTGGCGAGGCGGGCCCCTGCCCCAAGGAGGTCCCAACAAAAATAGAACGCTGCCTACGAGCGGTGAAGGGTCCGGGGGGCTTCCCAAAAGTGATGTGGGCAGAGCCACAGACGACCGGCCACACAGACACGGAAAGCGCACGGACAAGAACGTGAACGCCCCGGAACGATGGCGACCAAGCTCGGCCTATCCACAGAGGCAAGCCGGAACCTCTCTAGCGTGGCCGGCTTCTCCGCGGCCCGGGGAGGGGGACGAGGGCTGTGGAGCCCCACAGGGGACAGATTTCCTAGTCTAGGCTGGTTAGTTTTGTCCACCTGGCTTCTTCCTCTTTTCAGTCTTTGTTATAGGGGTGGCTGCGTGGGAGGGAAGATACGCGGGGAATGGGAGGAGATGTAAAAACTGGACACCAATAAGAGTTTGTTTTAAACACTGTTTAGGGGCTCTTCCCACCATCTGGCAGCGCGGCCACCACGGTGCACACGAATGCCCCGGCAGAAGCTCTCAAAAGCACCAACCACGCAGAAAAGCGAGAAGAGCGCCGCTTCTCACTGGGCCGGGCTCTAACGTAACCCGCCCGGACCTTAACTGTGACCATGAAGTGTGGCTCCACCCGCGAATCTGAGACTATTGGCGATCACATAACAGGAAAAATTGTGAGGACGCTCAGCCCCAGATCTGATGTTCAAGCCAAAGATTTGTGAAAACACATGGGAGGAAGAATCCTGGGGCTCTTTTTTTTTTTTTTTTTAAATTAATTTATTTTGATTTATCAACAATTACTTCCATAAGCTTTTGAGTTTTAAATTTTTCTCCCCCTCCCTCCCATCTTCCCTCCCCAAGATGGCACGCAATCTGATATGGGCTATACATATACATCCTATTAAACATTTTCACATTAGTCATGTTGTAAGGAAGAATTAGAACCAATAGGAGGAACCACCAGAAAGAGGAAACAAAACACAACAGAAGAAAAAAAATAGCCAATAGTATGCTTCGATCTGCATTCAAACTCCAGAGTTCTTTCTTTGGATGTGGATAGCATTTTCCATCATGAGGCCTTTAGAGATGTCTTAGATCCTTGCATTGCTGAAAAGGCCTAAGTCTATCAATATTAGTCATCACACATTGTGACTGTTAACTGTGTACAACGTTCTTCTGGATCTGCTCACTTCACTCAGCATCAGTCCATACAAATCTTTCCAGGTTTTCTGGTCAGCCTGTTCATCATTTCTTATAGCACAATAGTATTCCATTACATTACCACAACTTGTTCAGCCATTCCCTATTGATGGGCATCTCCTCAATTTCCAATTCTTTGCCACCACAAAAAGAGCTGCTATAAATATTTTTGTACATGTGGGTCCTTTTCCCATCTGTGTGATCTCTTTGGGATACAGCCCTAGAAGTGCTATTGCTGGGTCAAAGGGTATGCACATTTTCATAGCCTTTGGGCATAGTTCCAAATTGCTCTCCAAAATGGTTGGATCAGTTCACAACTCCACCAACAATACTAATATTAGTGTTCCAATTTTCCCACATCTCCAATATATATCATTTTCCTGTCATGTTGGCCAATCTGATAGGTGTGATGTGGTACCTCGGAGTTGTTTTGATTTTTTTTTTTCTTCTGTTGTGTTTTGTTTCCTCTTTCTGGTGGTTCGTCCTATTGGTTCTAATTCTTACTTACAACATGACTAATGTGAAAATATGTTTAATAGGAATGTATATGTATAGCCTATATCAGATAGGGCTCTTTTTCTAAGGGTGTAAAACACATATACAAATAAAACGCTCCGATGGACAAAAAACAAAAACTATCATTCAGGGGCACTAACAAAGAAAGCCAACGCTGGTTCTACCCTCGGAAAGACGGACGCGGGACAGACAGGGCGACGCAGTTCTGCCTCCTCTCTGCCACCCCTCCACGGCATCCCCAAGCAGTGCCGTTGTCCGGGCTACGTCCTTGTCACTGGGGTCCCGGCCTCCACAGATCTCTCAGGCTCTTGGCATCTCCAGAATGGTTCTAGGTACAGGAGCTAACAAGCCACCCCTAGAAACCATCACCAGTAACTGGCCAATGTGTTTGCCAGAGATCAGGGAGATGTGTGACATTCAATTATGTTAAATGTTGCCCATTTTAATAAATTATGCAAAAGAAATTCTGTGTAAAAGACGCAGGCTAAATGACAGGGTAAGGTCACTGGTCAAGCTAGGAAGGCCGGGGACAGGGAAGGTCCCAGGACTCCAGAGTCCACGCTGTTCCTGACAGGATCATGACAGACAGGAGTGGGATCTCTCAGGGGAGGGGAGTCACCCTGGGGCCTGGGTGGGCTGGCTGCCTGGGCACTGAGGTCAGGGACCAGCCCAGGGTTACCCAGCCAGGATGGCTGGAGCTGGAGCCGGACCCCAGGCCTTCCTGGTTCCAAGGACAGCCCACCAGCACACCCAATGGCTGGTATGCAGATGGTGGCTCAAAGGTCCCTTCCCACTTCCCGGTCCGGGTCCTCCACAGGCCCACCCCTAGACCATATCAAGCCAAACCTATCAAGTGTTTCAGAGATTTTATTTAGCTCCTTCCCTCAGGGCATTTTGCCCTCCTTCAATGATGCCCATAAACCACACTGGACACCCCCCCCACCCCCCCCCACACCCACACCCACACACCCACACACATACCCACACACACACCCACACACACCCACACGCCCCAGGTCCAGCTGGACCCTGTCGCCCCACGTCAACGCCAGCACCCGCTGCCCAGGGTCCTCAGTGGGGCCCGCTCCGCGGGTGGGGGCCCAAGAGGGATGCTGGGGGTGGGGAGCTGCCCCAAAGACCCCACTCCTCACTTGCCCTTATCCTTTTTTTTGCTTTTCCTCTGGCTGCTCAGCTCCACGAGCTTTTGATCCAGCCTCTTCTGGAGATGGACCCTCTTCACAGGGTCGGCAGAATTGTTCTTTGTCCCGCTGCCGGCATATAGGACCCCCTCTCTGCTAATCCTCTGTCGGGCGTATGCTCGCGCTTTCTCACCACATCCATGGACCTGGGGAGACACGGCACTTGCCCAGGCTGCAGGACTCTGCTGTCCGACCCCATACATCCAGAAGCCCCTGAACGTACGTGCTGCCAAGCCCTGCTGACACCCTGTGGGTCCCCAAAGAAGCCTGGCAGTCAGCAGGCACGGGCGGGGGCTCTGCAGACAAGACTGGCCTGTCAGGGCCGAGGCCTCGCACCCTTCTACCTCCCGAGAGCTCCCACTTGGGCTGCCCTCCCTCCACCACCTCCCCACCATCGCCATCATGCGCCTGCTCATTTGCCTGGAAGACGTCTCCCTGCCTCCTCTTCTCCCATCTCAACTGAGTCCTCACGGCCCTGCGTCAACATTCCCCTTCTCCCTTAACTGACTGTTCCGTTCCCCTGGACGGTGCTTCCCAAACTTCTCTTTTGCCCTCGCCACGCCCCCAACGCCTCCTCCATCCTGCTCGTGTCCTTCCTCCAGGCCCGGAGACATCCTCTCCCGCCGTCCTCCTGCCTCTGTGGAAGAAGGGGCCCGTCCAGCCCAGGCAGACTCTACCTGGTCCTAACCCTCGGTCCCTCCCAGGGCCGGCCCCCGCCAGCAGCACAGGGGCCCCGCTCAGGTCCCAGAGCCTTATTTCCCTGGCACTGCCAAGTGACTCCATCACCCTCCAGCTCGTCCACCCCTGCCCTCCCCGAGATCGCCAACAGCACCTGCCTTGCTCGGCCAATGGCAGTGATTCTGTCTTCCTCCTCCTCCAGCTGTATAGCTTCAGACGCTACTGACCACAGCCTCTTCCAGGGCAGGTACGCCTCCCCAGTCTGTCTACACCAGACACTCTCTCCTGGTCCTCCTCCCTCTCTGACCCCTTCTCAGCCTCCTTCCTCTCCCCTCACCTCCATTCTCCATCTGTCCGTCTCTCTCCCCATGCCCCTGTCTCTGCCTGTCTCTGGGGGACCTCATCAGGATTCAGCTACTTCCATGGAGACAACTCCCTACGGGGCCTGCTCAGCATCCCCTCTTAGACGTCCCGCCACAATCTCAAATTCATTATGGCCAAAACAGAACTGACCCCTTCTCCCCCCAACCTTCTCTCTCGTCCCCCCGCCACAGCTCGCCTGGTCAGGCTGATCCAGGCTGTCTTTCAGCTTGACAGGGACCTTACTACCTCTCAACCCAGATGAGTGGAAGGGCCTCCCACCTGGTCTCTGGGCCATTGCTGGGAGGGCAGAAAGACAAGATGGTTCCCCTGAGCCGCACTCGGGTCCCCCTGATGGATGACCCAAATGTTCACTGCCTTCTAACACCGTCAGGATCAAAGTAACCCCCTCAAACGCGCTCAGTTGCACATCTCTCACCTCTTCACCCCTTCATCCATTCCACAGCACTTATTAAGTGCCTGCTGCATGCAGGGCAGTGTCCTAGGCAGTGGGGATAAGGACAAACCAAAGCCAGTCCCTGCCCTCAAGGCACTTGGGACCCTCAGCAGAGCACAAGGGCTTTCACCCTGGGGGCGCCCAACCACGCCAGGGGCTCCAGGAGCCGAACCTTCTCCATTTTCCTGTCTCTCCTCTCTCTGCCGTGGGTGGAGCAAAGGTGGGTGGAGCTGCCCTGAACTGCTCCTCCCCCCTCAAAGGACTTCTCTGCGCCGCCCAGGGGACCAGGTTGTCACAGTTCAGACCACGAGTCAAGCAAGAGTAAAGTGGCCTGAGGATTTCCGAGGCAAGCAGAGGACACAGCATTTCATGCCAGGACGTGGCCACAGCCCTCAGCCTGCTCCAAGGCCTCCTCTGCTCTTCTCGGGGGCCTGGCCACGCTCCCAAGAGAAGAGAAATGACATCAGGACCAGATGGGTCATAGAAAGGCCCTCATATCCTTTCCCACATAATGTGGAGTACTCATCACCTCACTTTAGATTTGGAAAGGGAATGCCCGAGAAGGACGGCAGCAGAAGCAGATCCCCCTGAAGCAGCTTCACTTCGGGGTGCCCGAGTCTGGCGCCGTCACAGAGCTCTGCCCCCCAGATTTCCTAACACGGTTCCTGGTCAGCCTCTTTACTCAGGGTCTCCCAGTGCGGGGCAGGTGGACTGCCAGGCTTCCTCACTGCCCCAGAGAAGTCACCCTAGAGGTGACAGGACAGATGCCAATAGAGGCCACCATTCTGTGTCTGAGTGGACCCTCCCTGGCCACCCAGGGTAACCAGCCAGCTCGTGTGGGGGCCTGTAGGGAGGGAGGCCACCAGCTCCCAAGACGGTCCGTGGGGGAGCTTACATTCACCTGGCCCCTTGCTGCCTAATTCCAAGGGATATTTCTCCCAAGAAGTTTTTGGTTCCTACACAGGAATTTTAAGACACCCACGCAAAGAAGGCCACTTGAGGCACAGGGGCAGAAAGGGCACCACCTCCCTCTGCCCAGGGGTCCATCCAAGGCCGTTAGCTCGATCCCAAGGCCAGGGTGTGAGCAGACCCCCTACGTCTGACGGGGTCACCCTCCCAGGATCAAACACCAGCCGGGGCCAAACTTCTAACAAACAAATAAAAACATTCCCCAAAGCCGACACTGCCACCAGGAAGTGACGCTGACCACAGCACGAGGCACTGCCTGCGCACCCGCCACCCCACCGGGCCCCCGGGGCCAGGCCCCTACCTCGGGGATGTGATGGCTGAGGCAGAAGCGCTGACCGCAGTGTGGGCAGAGCTGGCCCAAGGTCGCCACGCTGGCTCGGCACCTGGGGAATGCACAGGTGTTATCAGCCTTGATGGCGGCGGAGACCAAAGCGTCAAAGTCTTCCTCCGCTGCGCGATTCTCTCCCGGGCGGCCTACGGGAAACACCAGAGACACTCAGACAAGGAAAAGAAGCAGAAACCAGCCCAAGCCTGGCCTGGTTAGGCCCTGGTTCAGGGGAATGAAGACGGCCCATGAGGAAACGCGGGTGCCCTGGCCTGCATCGACGCACGGGGACAGGACGTGGCCCCCCACCCCGCCCTACCGTGTGGTTCCTTTGTTACGGGGAGCCTGGGGCAGGGGGAGAGGGGGCTGGGGGGTGTAAAGTCCAGAGAGGACTGTGACGTAACAAGGAAGGGCTACAGTCCTAGGATTCCCAGCTGTTTTTGTGCCAAAGGCCGGCTCATTCAAGGCCTCCTGTGGGCACGGAGGGTCCCGGCTGTGCAGACTCAGAGATGGCCACCTCCTCCCCCGCCCCGGTCAGCCTCAGTACCACATCTGTTGGCTAAGCCACAGAGGGGCCGCAATCTGCATTGACGGAGTGAGTCCTCACAACGACCAAGCCTCCGACCGCTAAGGTCCCAAAGCCTCAGCGGGCCCCCTCAGCTACAAACAGGCAGATCGTGGGTCTCCTTCCGTCCACGCTGGCTTACAAAGGACTAACCCTTAGCTAAATCCTCAGTGGCCAGCTCCATAGAGGGGGCACTTCCAGTGACCGAGCCCACCACAAAGTACCGGGGCATGCAGGGGACTGGAGTCCAGCGCGGCACTGAGACCCTGCTTGGGCTGTGCGTCCCCAGCCCGGCCATCCTTCTCCGAAGCAAAGCTGCTTCTGCTTTGCCCCCAGGCAGAGGACCCGATGATAGTAGCCTAGTGCTGCAAGCAATCGGACCTTTTCCTGAGTGCTGGGTGGGGCTGGGGGGTGATCTTGGGGGTTCCATGAGGAAAGGCCCCAGCCCAGGCAGGATGCCACTCAGGGAGCATCTCTCAGGGGTCCCTGCCTCAGCAGGGCATCCCGCGTCCCCCCACCCCAGTCCACAGGCAGGGGCACAAACTTTCAGGGTCCGTTGGTTTTAGGGAACTAGCCTGTCTTTTCCTCCTTTTTATCCTTTGCTATAAAGGACTGGGGCCCCCCAGAGTTACAGGGGTGTACACAGGGACGTGAAGACAAAAGGTGCCAACCAAAAGCCTTTAGCAGGCAAGGTCCCCTTCGTCAGCCACCTGGGGCCCGGCCTGGGCTTCCCTGAGATGTACAAAACAACCCTGGGAGATGACGTGTCAACACGATGCCCGTTTCACTGATGAAGAAACTGAGGCTCAGAGGGGAGGTGACGTGCTCACGATCCAACAGCTTAAAAGCGGACTCCAGCCAGGAGGGTCAGGCTGTGCCCAGCCCTGTACTCCTCCACTGCCTCCTGCCCCCAGAGACCCCTTTGCCTGCCTGCCCTCGGGAAGCTTGGGCTTGTCTGGACAATGCTCAGGCCCCCTTACTTAGGATGGCCTCGTGTTCCAACTCTCTCAGGGGGTGTCCAAGCACAGGCCTGAGTCTCCACACTGGGCACAAGTGACAGACGTGGCCCCCCAGGGACAAGCCTGCTCAGGAACAGACCTCCTCCTGCCTCTGTGTGCGTGCGCATGTGTCCACACACGTGTGTCTGTGTGTGCGTCTCAGGAAAGGGTACTGACGTGGAGCCCCGTGTGATGTGGCCCTGTCTGAGCCTCAGTTTTCTTCTCTGCAGGACAAGAGCACTGGACTCAAGGATCTCTGGGGCTCCCTCCTACACTAAATGCTCTCACCCTACGACCCACAATTCCAAGAATAAGGACGGGGCAGCAGCTGCTTGGACAAATGTCCCTGAGCTGTGGGCGCAGTCACAGAGGGAGCAAGGGGGCTTCTGGTCAGGCCTGCGGCATAGACCTGCACAGCACCGCCCCTCTTGGCCTCAGTTTTCCCATCAGGAAGCCTCCCTCCCCCTGCCGCCAGGGTCTGTGAGAAGAAGCCTGTACTTACAGACAGACCCCAGGGCCCTTCTGAAGGACAATGATGACGAAGCCCTGACCATTGTACAGTCTACATCTTTGGAGGAAATCCAAGGGTTAGCGGGAAGAGCGGCATTAACTCGATGAGATTAATTCCACTGAAATTCCAATTTCCTGTCCCGGCGAGAAGACTCCCCAAAGCCAGGATCCCCTCACTTGTCTCAGGTCCCAGGAGACAACTGACCCAGAAACCGCCCCCAGGAGAAGGGATGAGCTCCCCATCCTCTCTGGTAGCTCAAAGGCCTCACCTCTCCTCTCTTTTCCCTTCTTCCTTCCTGACACCTTGGGTGCCCCAGAGCCAGCAGCATCTTGGCGTTCCCTGGCCAACTGGCCAGGCCCAGCTTTCTCCCTCTGTCCTCTTTCCCAGTGCAGAGCTTTCTGATTCAGACTGTCCCCAGGGCTGCTGTGAAGGCCCTGTTCACCCTGGGCCAGGCACCCGGGCTGAAGCTCCTGCCCTCCACTCTCTGTCCCTGTCGGAGGCGGTGCCATGGTGGCTGTCGTGGTGGTGGTGGTGGCAGGGTTGGCAGCAGGGGTGGTGGTAGCGGCAGCCGTGGCAGGGGTGGCAGTGGCAGTAGGAGTGGTGGCCGCGGTAGCTGTGGTGGGGGCTCCCTTTTTGTGCACAGAGATGTATCTCTCCTTCCCTTCGCCAATGCTCTCGTGCTTTAGCCCGTGCTCCTCGGCCAGCTGATGGACCAGCATCCTGTCATGGGCATTCAGGGACGTGGGGAACTCAAGCAGGGTCCTGGTGCTCTCCAGGAAGTCCACGATCATGGCTCTGAAGAGGTCCCCAGTGCCCTCAGGCCGGCCCCCACCCCTGACCCCGGGGCCCTCTGGTGTGGGCCTGCTTCTGCCGGACTTCCGGGCCCCTCGGGCCTCCTGGCTTTCCTGGCATGGTCTGGGGCCGGGCTGAGCGGGGTCCCTGGGCTTCCTGCCCGCCCGGCCAGGGCCCCGAGAGCCTTCGTGGGAGTAATTGTCGGGGACAATGTCATCGAGGTACTCGAAGGCTGTGCGGACTTCGCCTCTCAGAGTGAAATAATCCACCAGCTTCTTCAAGAAGGCGTCGTTGCTGATGGTTCGGGAATCACAGACAATGGCGACGTGGCGCCGGGCACGAGTGACCGCCACGTTGATCCTTCGGTCCTCCGCCAGAAAACCGACCTCACCTAAAACAACCACAGAGCGGGGTGAGCTGCTGAGGCCAGAAACAGGAAGAAATGACCCCAAGGAGTCACTCCCAGTGTGTCCTTCCTGGGGTCGGGCCCACACTGGCGCCCCCTGCTGCACTGCACTGTCCCCCTCCAGGCTTCCCGGGGCAGCCTGGGGGCCGACCTCCTCCCCCCGGGCCTCCCCCAGCCCTCGGCCTGTAACTCACAGGCATGGCCCGAGCAGCGCTGCCCGCCCCAACTCTGGTGGACAGGAAGCTCCGGGAGGGAAGAAGGGGCCAGCCGGCCGCAGGGAGGAGCTCCGCACACAGCGGGTCCTTCCTCAGTCTCTGCAGCGGCGGCAGCTCTCCTGGCCAGGAGATGGGTGAGACGGTCACCCCACAAATCTGTCCCAAGTGAGAGCTCCCCCAAGTCGACAGGGTGCATCCACGAGAGGTAACGGCCTGAGCGCTGGCCGTCCAAAGCCAGGGGTCACGAGGGCTCGTTCCAGGCCACTTTGACCAGAACTGAGTCAAAGGAACAAAGCCCTGCCCCCGCGGAGGGCAGGCAGGGAGCTCCACAAGGACTTTCTAGCTCGTCCAGTTCAAACGCCTGCCTCCTTGACAACTGTCGTTCGAGGGGGCCCGTGCTCCCATTGGCCTCCATTCCCCACAGGAGCCCCTTGAGCACATCTTTACGAGGCCGGAGCTGGGGAAAGGACGAGCACACCTGTCCAGAGCGAGCCTCGCCCCATCGCGCTTCGTCTGCCCGGAGGACAGCCCTGGCCCGCCCGATGCCTTAGGAATGGGGTGCTACGCGGTGAGGGGATGGGGGGCAGGCCTCTCTAACACAACCAGGGTCCTCTCTCCCTTTGGCTCTCAGCACCATCTGCAGGGACCGGCACCATTTCCTCAGAACCAGCCTGTCCCAGAAACGTCCTCCTGGACACGCCTGAGGCGGGGGCCGAGGAGCTGCCTTGATTCTCAGCTACCACAGCCCCTCCTCAAACCTCACGTCCTGGCCAGAGCCAGTACAAAGCGAAGCAGAAACCACTGCAGGCTCTGACTGTTTCCCTCTCACCTCCAACCTGTCCTGGGTCAACCCAAAAGCCTCTCCTCTTCCACCAGGCCTCCCCCACTCAGGACGAGCCTGCTGCACGCACTGACTCAAGTGTCCGGGCCAGGCCCTCGTACCCTTCCGGTTGGATCGCACGAAGGACAAGATGACCGCCTCCTTCTCTCTTCCTTGAAAACCATCTACAGATTTGATCTCCAGTTGTGGATATTTAGGGGAAAGCTGCTGCCTGAGCAGGTCCACCTGAACCACAGAGACCCGGAGTCAGGCCATGCCAGCACAAGAGGCAGTGGCCGCTGTGTCCCCTGCCCCGGGACCCGTGGGGGGCTCTGGGAAGGATTCCTGCAGCAAACCATCATGGCCATCATGGCGGCCGTGTGGGCCCTGGGGCCATCCACCCATGCCAGGATGAGCATCACCCACCCTCAGGCCACGCCTTGGTCTGCTGCACCATCTACATGGGGCAGGCCCTTAGGAAGCCCCCTCTGCCACCCCCTCATCTGCCCACAGAGGCATAGCAAGGAGGCCCCGGCATCATCTCACCTGCAGGTTGTAGGGAGCAATGACAGCGACGTCACCTACTCGGACTCCAGCGTCCACCAACGCCTGGATGTGCAAACTGACAATCCGGACCTCACCTGGTGACAAAACACAGGGGGACATGAGAGCAGGACCCTCTGACCCTGAAAAATGGTGTGTGAGACCCCATGAAAACTGGCCCTGCCAGAAAGGGGCCGGACCATGGCTGTGGCCCTCTGGAGGCAGGCGGTCTGGGGCAGCCAAGCCAGTCCCTCCCCACACCCCAGCTGCTGGTGCCCTTTTCTACCCTGTACTAGGACCACGCTCAAGCCGCCCATCTGTCTGTCAGCTCTCGCTCTCGGCACACGGCAGCCCCACTCTCCTGCCCCCCCGCCTCCTCCAGTCATGCATGTCCTGGGTTTAAAATACACAGAGTGTTTAGAGCCATTCAATTTGGAACTTTTTAACAACGGTTATTAATGACGTGGTGCCGCCATGTGTAAGGCATTCCCCAAATGTTTCCTTTTTCTGCACAGGGGCCCACTGAGGCAAGAGCATGGTGGAGGTCACTTTGTTGAGCACTGAGGGGGCGGGTGGGTGGGGATCAGACCAGGCCATTAGCCAGGTTCTAGCCCCAGCTCTGCTCCAGACTAGTGACGTGAACTGGGACAGAGACACGTTCTGTGACATTTTGTGGGGAAAGGCCCGGAAACCCTGGGCACTGGAGAGAACCCAAACTGGGAATGACTCAGCTCCCCTCAGCAGGGCAACGATCCAAGACCGTCCCCAAGGACCCATGATGATGCCCACTGCCCGCCTCCAGAGGAAGAGCTGATCCGCCTGAGTATAGACTGCAGCAGGCCAGTTCTCACTTCCTTTCATTTTCTTCCTTTTATTCGAGTCTTCTTGTACAAAGTGACTAACAGGGAAATGTTTTACATAATTCTACAAGTATAACCTAGTCTGCTTACTATCTGGGGGCGGGGGGAGGGAGGGACAGAATTTGGAACCCAAAACTTTAAATAAAAATGTTAAAAAATTGGAAAAAACAGAAAGAAAGAACGGAGCACCCAGTTGGCCAGTTCTGTTCCCCCGGATCCCACGAGGCAGAGACTAAGAGAGGGAAACCATCCAGGGCCCGGCCTGTGACCAGGCTAAGGTCCGTGATCGGAGGTCCAGCCCCCAGGCACCACACACTCAAAGGGAATGAGTCAAAGAGTGAATGACGGGGGAGTCGGCGGAGATCCCAGGACGAAGAAAACGTAACTTAAAATCTTGAGCATAAGCTAAAGGCTAAAAACAAAAGGGCTGTGGCCTCCAGGCACCGGCGAGAGAACATAGCCCCAGAAAGGAGGACGGCCGGGCAACGCCCCAAAGACGACTCCTCCACACTCTGCGGAGGTGGGGGCACGGGGGCAGACGGCTGGGTGCACGGGCACACCTGCTCACCGGCTGAAGAGCCGTTCTGTGTTGCAAGGGATGGTTTTCTGGGAGACGGAGATACCGGGAAAGGACACGGGACACGAGGACAAAAGACATCCACGAGGAACTGTCTTTAAAGGGGATTTTCCACAAAACCATGGGCGGGGCGCGCCCGCGCACACCTGGGTTCCCCTTGGATTGCTCATCCTCGTCCTCCAGCTCCGACAGGCCACAGCCGGCAGTGTCGACGAGCAGCAGGGGGATGCTCGTCTCTCCTGTGGGAGTGACCCCTGGCAGGTCCCTGCGAAGGCAGGTGGGAGTTGGTTACGAGCTAAGCCCCCGCAAAGCCGCACCCAAGACCAGGGCGTCAAACACAGACAGAATCCATCCACGAGGGTCCCTGTGGCCGCGGGTTCCCCATGATCTAGGCTTTGCTGCATCTTCATTTATTGTTACACATTTCCCGTTTCCATCCGGCTCAGGCTGCACTCAGAGGCACCGTGGGCTGCGTGCAACCACCACCACCTGCACCGGCCCGCTTGTCCTGACCCACCCAAAATGGAGGCCACGGCCAACAGCACCACGGAGGAGGGTGCAGACTCGGAGAGAAGAGGCTCAGTCTCCACCACAAACCCAAGGGAGCCTCGGTCTCCCCATCTGTACAAGCAGACGATGAACTCCCTTTCTCAAGCGGTTGTTTTGAGAAAAGAGGAAAATTATACCTAAACCACCATTATCACGACCCAAATGATTAAGTGCTGAATAAAGCCCACTGAACTTGGCTTGCTATGAGGACGATGTGCTCCAGGCCACCTCTCGGGGTAAAGTACCACCCCCCCCACCCTGTGCCAGAGGACAGCGTCCAGCCACAGGCCCCACCCTCACACCCACTTACTTCAGAAGATGGCCGGCCACTGAGGGGTGGGCAGTGAGCTGTCCGCGGTACAGCTCCTCCGAGGCCCACTGCATGATGGCCTGGTGCATGCGGTACTGGACCGTCAGCATTCTCACGACCCTCTCCCCGTGGCTCTCAATCAGGCGCTCCATCAAGCTGAGGGACAGACCCCCTTTGGCAGCTCTGCATCAGAGAGAGGAAGCCCCCGTGACGCCAGGCCTGGCAAGGAAGCTGCCTTCTAAAGGGGAGGGGCAGGCAGCAGCAACACAGGCCCAACCTCCTAAATGAGGCGCAGGGACACCCCAGCACTCGCCCATTCAAACAAGTTCAGCAAACATTTCTGAAGCACCCGCTGGGTACAAAACACACTGCCATAGGAGCTGTACAAAATTTAGGGAAGCTGAGCCCCTGTCCTCATAAAGCTTAGACTCTCACGAGGGGACGCGGCCGTTCACAAAGAATACACAACGGCGCCTTAAAGAGATACAAGCAAATGCTCTGGGCTGTGTGAGGGAGAACAGGGCATGGCCGGGGGTGGGGGGGTCAGGGAAGACCCCACAGCCTGCTCCCTCCAGCCACCCTCTCAGTCAACTCCTCGGAGACGCCCGGCTTCCTGGGCACGACCAGGGGTCTGGCGCTCAGGTTCGCACCACGTCTCCCTCATCCACAGCCTGGCCAAGCCCCCGCCCAACACCAGGCCGGCCCCCAGATACTGAATGAGCTCCGGAGGCTTCTCCTGTCTGCTAGCTCGGGGTCACTGAGGGGCTGGCCCACAAAGGGCGCCCACCCACGCCGACCAGCCGAGGCTTACTGGTGGGACACGATGGTGGGGGGCAGCTGCTGGTGGTCTCCAGCCAGGATGCACTTTCTGGCCTTCAGCAGGGGGATCCAACAGCTGGCTTCCAAGGCCTGAGCACACTCGTCGATCACCACCACATCAAAGTGATCGTCAGGGAGCAGCTTCAACGGGCCATCAGAGGATGCGCCTGATTCAGAGAAGTCCCATCAGCCTCTGAGGAAGCTCGGGAACCCCAGACACCTGACGCTGGAGGCAAACTCAAGCGAGCACGTGACCGCACGGCAGGACAAGGCCCTTGAAGGGTCACCAAGTGTGGGCCTCTAGAGGGACCCCCCGGCCTTGCTGCCTGCCTCCTGCTCCCAGGAGGGCGCTCCTGGTGGACACCCAACCCCACAGGCGCCCGTCTCGGGTCTCACCCGTGTTTGTGGCCAGGATGACATCAGCCCAAGAGAGGCTTCTGAGCATGGCGGCTTCTTCTCTCTCTCTCAGCTCTTTCCTCAGCAGCTTGAGCTCACTGCGACCATAGCTATTGTCTCTCTTCTCCAGGGTCTTCTTGCTTTTCACCTGTGGATGGAAACGCCTAATTTTCACTGGGGCATCCCTCACCACCAGAAGCCCCTTCCTGCAAGAACGCGCTATTTCAGACCGGCCCAGCGTCAGCCTCGAGATGGGTGAACATACTTCAACAGTTTGGTAAAGGGCGCCCGACACAGTCACAATTCCAGCACGTGGAGGCCGTGTGAGGTAACAGACGGAGAAAGGCATCGTGGTGAGGACAGGCCTGGATTCCAATTCTGCCCCCAACATGTCAAGGCTCCGTGGCCATGCACAGGAAGCTCCCCCTCCCTGGGGCTCAGCCTGCCCACCTCCCGGGGTCACTGTCAGAGTCAGATGAGATCCTGTCAATCCAAGGTGAGACTTGGGGCATCAGAAAAAGGCCAGCTGTCACTACCACCACCCTCCTCCAAAGGCTGCAAAAGGAAATCTCTCTGACGGCCCTAGGACCCCCTAACATTAGCACATTATGCTCCGAATGGCTCCCGATCGTTTAGGAGAAAGCCCAAGTCCTTGTTGTGATCTGTCACAGTGTCTGTCCCCCCCTATGTGGACAGCTGGGGTGCCCCACCCCTGCTCCCACCCCTGCCCCCGGACCTGGTCAATGTCCTTCCGGATATCCGCCACAATCTGGGCCTGGTCACTGCGGGCCAAGACCGCATCGAGGCAGTGGTGCTGGATGGCGTCCAGAAGGCGCGCAGGGTGCCCGAGGCGGAGGACCCTCAGCTTCTGCGCAGCCAGCCTCTCCACCAGGTTGTCCACAGCAATGTTGGAAGGGGCACAGCACAGGACCTGAGGCAGAAGGTGACCTAATGAGCCTCGTCATGCCCGGTCTTGTCACGGGAGGGAGACCAGGATGGGGGGAGCAGGATGAGGAGCCGATGCCTTAACAGCGCACGCACATCACCTCTTAAAAGGAGTGAAAACCAGGCAGACAGCTCCAAAATCACGCCGTTTGGGGCCCCGGGCCTCTCAAGATTCATCAGTCACAAAATGTGATCTGTGAATGGAAATTTAAAACTGTATCAACCCTAAACTAAAGCCCCCAACATCCAAGAGGAGTGACGCCTGCACCACACTTGGTCTCGCATCATAATCTGATCAAGTTTAACAGCATCGTCATCTAAAAAGACCCAGGAGCAAGGGAGGAGCTGGCTGAGAGACCCCGAGCCCTTCTTCCTCTGGGGATGCGGACAGCAGAGGCAGCTGGCCTGGGGGGCAGAGAGGAAGCCAAGGATTCCGGCCCCGAGCCCCAAGAGCAAAGGGAGTCAGGGGAGGAGGAGGGGGCCGCCTCGAGACCCTTGGAAGTCAAGCATCCACGCCCAGCCAATGGCCTGGCACAGTGCCTGGCCCATGACCAAGAGAGACTTCCCCAGTGAAGGAAACCCAACAAGTGCCAGATTTCAAGACAATTCCCACCCATGAAATTCAGGCAGTAACCCAGCTTCCAATCACTATGCTAAGAACTTTATTGGTCAAACACCTCCTGGACAGGGCAAGTGCCCAGCAGCCAGGAGCGAGGATGCTGGAAGGGGCTGCAGGCTGGAGTGCCCCTCCCTCACTCCCTCCATCGGCATGGGTCAGGGTAGTGCTGGCGCCCCAGGAACGACCCTGCCCGGAGACCTTGAGAGCCTGCCTGTTCCCACCCAGGACAGGGGAGTGTAAATACTGCTAGGCCGGTGGCAGCTTGGGGATCAGCAGAGGCTGTGGAGGACCAGAGGGGAACCTTGAAACCCCCTGCCCCTGACGTAGGGGAGGGGGCAGCTGGCAGGTTTCAAACGGGCAGATGGCTGGCGCTCCCTCGGAGCGAGGGAGCAAGTAGGCGAGGCTTAATTCCTAGTTCTCAGCACAACGAACGTTCAATGATTCCGTAATCATAACAGCCATAACATAACATAACATAACGTAATCATAACAGAGTGCTGTAAGGTCGGTGACATGCTCCACGTGGAGCGTGTCATCTTCACAATCACCTCAGGAGGTAGGCACTAATTATTATCCCCATTGTACATATGAGGAAACTGAGGCTAAGCTCCATGACGTGTCTGAGGCAGGATCTGAACTCAGGTCTCACACTCTTTGCCTCCAAGGCACCTCGCTGGGCCAGAGACAGAAAACAAATGTCAGAAGGTACAGGTCGGGGCAGGCAAACAAAGGCGGTCACAGATCTGGAAAGCACCAAAGGTCATCACAAACGTTATGTCACCACATGCAGGAAACAGAGAAGGGAGAATTCAACTAGGGAGGGCAAAGGTCAGCCTCCATGGCCCAGATCTGAAGAGGGAAGATGAGGAAAAGAGCCTTCGGGGAGGTGCAGATGCTCCAAACCAACCCAACCAAACCGACCGTGGACTGAAAATGAGGCTGCGGGTCAAAGTAAAAACAGCCCGACTGTCTCCATTTCTTGGAGAAACTGAGCTGGTGAGCTGGCCGCAAGGCCAGACACCCTGTGCAGAACCATTTCCCCATGCCTGGAAAGCCTGGTGCACAGCCCCACAGAGCATGAGGAGAAATGGGAAAGGCAGCACAGGGCCAAAGACAGGCCACGTCTGCCCTCTGCCGCCTGCCCCCTTCCCCTCCTCGAGGCCACTGGCATCTGCCACACTGGGACACCCAACGTGCGATGTGGCCAAGGGGGGCGGTCCTCAGGAAAGCTAAGGCGGGAAGAGCAGCCTCTGGCCGAGCTCTCTCTCGGCAGAAAAGGCAGCGGAGGAAGGGAGAAAACAACGTAAGAATAATCAGAGACAGACAAGGGGAAAGACAGCAGCAGCCACCGAGGCAAATGCTCCCTTTCTCATCTCTAGGAACGTTTATGAGAAGGGTCTACATGCAAACCAAGGGCCTCCTTGATGAAAGCGAGCGAGAGGCCAGGTTCTTGCAGGAGGCTTCTTACGCTGTCCCATGGCCTCCCAAGCACACCAGTGACCAGAAGGGGGAAGAATGGAGACCACTTGTCACTTGGCGAGTGCAGATGACGTTTTATAAAGCAGCTGACTAGGGACAGGGGCAGCTAGGTGACGCAGTGGATAGAGCACCGGCCCTGGAGTCAGGAGGACCTCAGATACATAACACTCACTAGCTGTGTGACTCTGGGCAAGTCACTTAACCCCAAGTGCCTAACAACAAAAAAAAAACAAAAACAAACAAACAAACCAACAAAAAGGCATCTGACTTGGCAGAGCAAGAGGAAGACTTACAGGCTCTCCTTGTGCCGCCCGGGCACGAGTTAAAATCACAGAGAGAGACGAGAACATGTGGTCTCCTCATCCTGTCCCTGCCACTGACGAGAAGAGGGATCGTGTGAGGGTGGGGCCCGGTCTGAGAACCCCACAGAGCAGCCTCAGCACCATGGCCACGACCAAGGAGACAGACAGATGGATACCCTGCCCCAGACCAGATGATGAGTCAAGCAAGATCCACCAGGATGGGCTGCAGGGCCTGGCAGGTGGGGTGACTTTTCAAAATTACGTGGAATTTTCGACAACGTAAGCTGCTCCCTTTTCATGTTTTTGTCACCAACGTCTTTGGAAAATACACATTGTGGATAGCCCAAGGCGAGAGGGGTACACACGCATACGTACACAAACACACACCCACGCATGCACGCACGTATACGCACAGACACATACGCACACACATGCACAGATGGCAACAGGTGTGAGCAGGTGCCACGTGAGACCGAAGACGACTCATACACAACCACCGCCATCAAAGGCATCACTGAGAAAGCAGAAGTGGACGTGACATGGCGAGAGACAACGGAAAGCAAGGCCTCGAGAGCGGCGGCCAGACCCCCACAGGGAAGGCTGATGAGAAGAGACAGAAAGATCTGTGGAGGAGGAGGAAGAGGAAGAGGAGGCGTCGTGGTCTGTGGTGCCACAAGCACAGGAGCCCCTCCACTGACAGGATCGCAGCGCCACCGCATGAAGAAAAGGGCTCTCTAGGCGCAAATAGACAGCCATGTCCATACATGAACATGCACTCACATATCCACTTACACACCCACACACCCACTCTTGCACACACACACCCACTCTTGCACACCCACAATTCACTTACACACTCACACCCACTCTTGCACACATGCACACTCACACCCACACCCACACTCACTCCCACTCCCCATCGCAGGCTCACCTTCAGACCCTGTCGTACGGCTTGCAGCACAATCTCCACCACTGTCGTGGTCTTGCCGGTGCCAGGTGGGCCGTGGATGATGGCCAGCTCTTTCTGGGCCAGGGCAAAGCCAACGGCCTCTTTCTGTGATGTGTCCAGGGAGCCGTTGCAGAACGTCAGCGGTTCTAGGGAAAGAGCAGTGGGGCGTGGATCCCCATAAGCCTCCCCACCCCACACCGGGCAGCGCCACTCCCTGCACCCCATCTCCCTCTCCTGCCAGGCTCGCCCCGTCCTCTCCACCCCTGGGCAGACGTCCCCCCTCCTCCTCAGGATGCCCCAGGGCATCATCCATTATCCTGCCCTCTGCTGGGCCATCTTTTCTCCCTTATTACACTGAGCTTCTCAAGCGCACAGACAGAGTCTTTCTTCTGAACACGGGGCCTTGCACCTCCTACTCTCAGAATAAAGCCTGCTGTCGTTTTATTTCTGTCCCACTGTCTGCCCCCTTTCAGCGCTTCCCGGGGCTGGGAAGGAAGAACAATGACCAAACTCCTAAGTGACAGGTTGAGGTAAAACCCGCAAGACTGTGCTTCCTGTTCCTTGACTTGAAGCCGTCAGCGGAACGTGGCAGTGTGTGGAGGTCGTGGGGGCTGAAAGGCGGCTCCCAGACGAGCTCCCCCAGCATGGTCCCTGGAGACCCCGACCTTCCTGATTCTCCCCAGCACACGAGGTGGCTGCACATGCAGGCACGCCCCCCCCCCCACACAGACGCACGCACGCTGTCATCTGTTCTATGATTGATAGCTATAATGAAGACAGAGCCTGCTCTCGATGCCAGAATCTCTGTAAACAGAAGGCTACGTGGACGGCTAATGAATCTGCCCCCCGCTCTTCCCAGACCCGGTGTTCATTCCACAGAAGTAACACACACCTATCACGTAATGGAATCGCCAGTTTGGGAGTCACCAAAATGACCTTTTAACAGTCACGTTAGGAACTCTGAGCTCCCAAAGAGGTTCCACCCTGCCCACATGTTGCTGTAACAGAGCTCATGTGGGACGCCGAGCTCCAGCCGGGGGCAGCCCTGCCTCCCAGGCCCGGCAGGACGCCCCGGCCTCCACTTTCGCTGGGGGCTGAGCAACAGGCAGTCCGCTTTGATCCCAAAAGCAACATCCCAGAAAAACGTGCCGTGAGGAGCGCTCCCCGAGCCCCAGACTGAGCCCAACACAAGGCCCCGGTTCTGCTCGGTCCTGGCCCACAAGGCAGACGAGGTCCTTGGGGCGGGCTACACGGGAATCTTTGTGGAGTGAGCTCCCCAGCCCCGGGAGAAGCGCCGCGCTGTCCTTACGTGTTGGAGCCGGACTGCTCGGCTCAGAAGCGCAGAGGAGAACGTCGATGAGAGGCGCGGCCGGACCCGCGTGATACTGGTTTAGGGCGTTCAGAGCTCTGCCAACAGAGGAGACCGAGATCAGGACTTCAGCGTGGACCAGACACCTGGGACCCAGGCTGGGGCTGGCCTGAGCCCCCCACCTCACGCCTGCGCTCACGGCCGCCCTGCACCCCCTCCCTGGGGACCAAAAGGGACACTGAGGCAAACCAAAACTGACCAGGGCTGACTCTAAGCCCGGCTGCTTCAGGAAAAAGATGCCGTGGGAGCAGGATGGAGGAAAGGAGCAGCCCCCGACTCCCTCGTCACAGCCGCCAAAGTCCCCCATAAGGCGCCGGTCCGAGCACCTTCCACAGCTCCCTGGTGCCCCCGAGACGACATGCAGACGGCCCCGCCATCGAGCTCCCCACTGCTATGCCCAAGCCTCCTGCTAAAAGGTAAGCTACCTGAGGGCAGGGCCGGCTGGGCTCTCGTCAGCACCCAGCACCCCATAAATGCTGGCGGACTGAGTCACCTATGTCTTACCTAACCCAAAACTTCCCCTGAGCCTCCCTGGGCCCCTATCACGCTCAGCAACTGTGTCACGGCCACTAACCGAGGCTCCTGACACCCCCGGGGAGGAGCCGCGGCCGGTCTCGTCGGCCAAGGCATTCACCGGGCCAAGGGACGGCCCCTGCCCGGCCCCAACACAACAGGGGCTCCCTCGAGATGCAGGACAGTTTCATTTTGTCTTTGCAGCGCCAAAGCCTAGCACATCGTAGATACCTGATAAATGCTTGGGGCGCGGCTGCCTGCTCGACATTCCAATCAGGGAGTCCCAGAGACGCCTCCGTCCTTCTCCCTAGTTTCCTCTCTCCTTCCGGGCCCCCAAGTTCAGAGCCCTGGAGTCCTCCTTGACTCCCCGCCCTCCCTCCACCCTCCCCCTCAGAGGTTCCACTCGCCTGGACTGCTCCAGGCCTCCACCGTCTCCCATCTGCTGTCCGTGCCCCACCCAGTGGGTCTGACCAGGGCAGCCCCTCAGGGCACGCCAGCGGCGCCCCCCGGCCCAGTCCAATACAAACTGCTCCAGCTCTGACACTTAAAGCCCCTCACAGGCCAAGTCCAGCCTCAGCGGCAAAGGGTCAAAGTGGCCTCACACGAAACGTTCCCATCTCCAGGCCTTTGCACAAATTGTATCCTATGCCTAGAATGCCCTCGCCTCAAAGAATCCTCGATCTCCTTCAAAGTTCATCTCACACGCTGCTTTCAACAGGAGGCTCTCTGTGCTTGCCCCCCTCCCAGCGGCTGGGGCCCCCCCGGCAACCTTCTCTCCCTCCTACAACGGAGGCTCTTGGGAGCCCTAGCACCAAGCAGGGTCGCGGTGGGCACTCAATGCTTGCTGCCTGAGTCAAGGGGCAGAGGCAGAATCTGAACCCAGGTCTCTGACTCCAGCTCCCTAACTCTCCGCACCACAGCGTCTGGAATAGGAGACCGTGAGCTCCCCGGCCCGCCCTGCGCAGTTACTGAAGGACGCCTGCCAACGGGACCCCAGCCCGCCACGTGGTGTCGCTCCCAAGCCTCACCTTCTGAGCCGCTTATACGTGATGTCATTGGCCAGCCTGAGCAGCCGGTAGAGGCCGCCCGGATCCACAGCCAGCGCGCCCTCCTGGGATTCGTCAAAGGCCACGGTCACAGACCGCTGCGTGATCTGCGTGAGGATGCCGGTGGCAAGCAGAGGGGCCGCCTCGTGAGCGCTCTCGTACAACCCCACGATGTCACCTACAGAAGCAAAGCCACAGTCGGTCTTTTAAACACTCCCATAAAATAAATTATTCAGCAAAAGCCAACGAGGCCCAAGTCAAGAATCTCAGCCAGGGAGGGAGAGGGGGGCGGTCACCAGCCCACTGCCTGGCCACAGCAGGAATCCCTGCGCTAGGCTGGAGGGCTCAGCAAAGCTGCCTCTGTGATGCACCCGCCGCTCCCCAGGGCTCCCCAGAATGCAGCAAGTGCCCCTTCCAAGGGACCACCCCACAAATATTTAAAGTTTCCTCTGCTCTTCTCCAGGGTGAGGGGTCCCAGCTCCTCTAAGCGCTCCTCAGGACCAGCTCTCAAGTCCCTCCCCAGCCTGACCACATCTCTCCCTCTTCCCTGGGTGTGCCTCAGTTTCTTCTTAGTTCTTGGTGTCTCTGATCTTAAAGTAAAATGACTCTACAAAAGTTAACAAACCCTACAAAGTCAATGAAAATCCCTTTCGGGACACAGAGACAAAAACAAACAAGGCAGAAAAGGGGGATCGTTTGGAGAGAAGAAATGGGGTGAGCCCACTTTCAGCTGGCATGGCAGGCAGGTAGAAAGGAAGGCAGCCTCGCATCTAGCCCCGGCCCTCAGGGCCCCCTGCCTGGAAGGACATGGGGGTCTGGACTGGATGACCCCAGGGGCCCTCTCAGCTCCCAGTAAGTGCTGGAGAAGCCCCTCGGGAAGGCCTGACCTTGGCCTCAGTGGGGCCCAGCTGTCCCGTGGCTGTCCCTTGGGTACTGGGTACGAGCCCCTTTGGGAGCGGTGTCCTGGGCCAACTTTGGACCCACCAACCTCAGAAAGGCTCCCTGCCGGGGGGGGGGGGGGGCGGAGACACACAGGCACCAACATGCTCACCACCCCATCAGGGCCCGGCGGGGATCCTGACCTCACTTTGCCTGCTCCCACCTACCAGGCCCGAAGCTGTTGCAGGGCAGGGTGGCCCCAGGGTCCCATTTTCTGGGCTCCAGAACCACGAGCAGCCTTCCATACAGCCCTGTCCGCTGGCTCGCTACCTGCAGCTTTAGCAGGCAGACCCCCCGGCGCTGCAGCTCCTTCGGGGAGACGCTCTCCTGCCAGGCCCTGGGGGCACAAAGGGGGATGCTTCACTCTGGGCAAGAAGGGCGTGACCCCCACAGTGGCCCCTCCAGCCCCAGGAAGCGTGGCGGGGGAGGAGACCCCTCACAGACCACCAGGCTTCCCGACCCTGGCGCTGTCGTCTGGCCCAGGAGAGCCTCAGGACCCCCGGCCTCGCCATCCCCCAGGACCCCAGTCCTTCACCTCTGCCGCGAGCTCCCCCCGGGGGCCGCTCCGCAGAGCAGGGGGCACCTTGTGCCTCTGGCTGTGTCCCCAACGCTGGGCACCGTGCAGAGGCGGCACGAACACACTTGTCCTGGTGTCTACACCAACCACCAGGAAGTCTCTCTCTCCCTGCGCTTCTAACTCCTGCTGATTAACTCATTACAGCTAGGAAGTGGAGAAGCCTGGCTGCTGCCTGCCTGTCTACACCTGCTGCCTGCCTGTCTACATCCGCTGCTGCCTGCCTGTCCACACCTGCTGCTGCCTGCCTGTCTACACC